AGTAGATTCAAAGGAATAAACATCTTCCACAGAAAGTAAATCTCAAAGCCTTTATCAACATGTGGGAAATAAGCATTGCCACAGACACACTTACCCTAGGATGGGATTATTGCTTAAAGATGGTAATATTGTGGAATAATCCTTTTATAAGTATTCTTTTATAAAAAGCCATTTTTAGAAAAAATAAACTTAAGAAAGCTGCAGGTATAAACCTTTATTTCAGCTGTAGAAACTGATACTTTAAGCTTTAAAGTCTGTAATTCTACGTAATATCAAAATTGATTCGTGCCTGTGATTTGAAATAATTTTTAATACAAAGACATTAATTTAAATTTTTTCTTATTATTTAGAAGTAAAGAATGCAGCTAGATCAAGTTACCCAAAATGTTCGTATCAATTCAAGAATGCAACTACTAATGCATTGGTTGGTGCCAAGTCCACTGAAGGAATTCCGGAACCTGTTCCACTTGTTAATAACCGTAAAGGGAGCCTCTTCCTACCCAACAACCCCTCGCTGCTGCACCTTAACTTATTGGGTTCTGTTGAACAAGGAAAATCTACGTACTGTAGATTGCAAAGGGCACTCAGCTTGCCTGTAAAATACCGCTACCACTCCCAAAAGCCTGGGTTGAACCAAGATCTCCGTAGGTAGCCCCGTAGTTGGATGCATAAGGCAATACAGATTGGTTTGTGCATGGTTTTGCAGTCTGTGTTCAACGTGACTATGACATTACTAATGCTCTGTTAAGTGCTTACAGATGTGGGTTTCTCCAGATGTGGTGATTAATAAGTTAATCAAGATAGCTGGTCAACTAATGTTTCTGGGTGGTTTGTGCTTTACCTTTCATATGGTTTATTTGCTCTGAAGCATTTACATGCTAGTCAGAATGAGTCTACCAGCTATTCCAGTTTGTGTGATGTTCAGTAACATAGAAGTTATTTCAAATTCCAGCTATTTTGGGGGTCTACAGTGTCTGTAAACTGTTCTGCTAGTGACCTGGGAGAGGCAGTGAAGGAGACAGATTTATTTAAAAAATAGTAACAAAGTAACAACGAAAAAAGTTATGAACTTGTCCACTGTTTCTGAAAGACATTCCCTTTATTTTGCTTAAAAAATGAAATAAGGATAAAAGTCAAGTAATATGTTGTTACAGATGTTCAGCTCCACATTACGGCTGTTAAAATTACCAGCACATCTTAAATCAATTCATGGAACATTGTCTGGAGGTTATGTCATTGAAATAATGAATCCTCTTTACTCAAGAATAAGCAAACATGTTAAAACATCAGTGTAACTTTAAATTAAACTCCAGTATAAACCAGAGCATCTGAAGCCTCATTAGACTTGCCTGACATTTTTCTAGCACTGAGTCTTCCTGAACTGCAAAACTGTTAGATTCTCTGCCTATTAGACAAGTAAGCACTGGGTTGTTACAACAGTACATTAAGTGTTATACTTAGGGATGTGAAAACAAGCTCTTGAATTTTATTAGAACTCAGAGGCTGGATTGAGTTCCAATTCTATAAAATTCTGTGTCCAATTCTTGAACTTATTTGCAATTTTCATGAAAGCTGGCAAAGGAAGTCTGCATAATATAATATGACTGTATTTTAATACAAATCCTGTAGCATAAAGACATCAAAAATACTAAAAATGAGGACACATTCTCATTAACAAAAGCACTAGGTCAAACGTACAACATCAGAGTTGAGTTGTCGTATATCACAGCCCATTATTCAAATTTGGTTGTCTTTCATAAGAACAAGCAAATTTAAGACTCCCTTTTAAATTAATGCAGACACAGGAACCATGAAACTAAAATGATATTTTATGGCTTTACTAAAAATTTTGCTAGATCCATTTCTTTAAATATGCAGGAAATTGATAAGAGTATCTGAAGGATAATAATTAAATATGTTTTATATCCTACTTGCTACTAAGAAGCCACTTGTGAGCTACCATTGCAACACTTTTGGGAACCAAGCCATACATAATGGTGTCCATTATATACCGTTTACATATTTAAGCTTCATGGATTCCCTTCCCCCGTTCTTAAGGAGCTGCATTTTTAAACTGCAGATGCCCTGTAAATTCTGTGCACAGATTTCATTGAAAAACAAGATCTTGTTTGGATGTGATAAATGATTAAGATAGATCACCTTTCATTGCTGCAATGGGAATAAATGGCTTCCTTGCTTAAGCAAGGCATTAGCTTCAGCAACAAATTCAGATCCCTCAGAAGGCTTTGCTAACAGGTATTAACTAGTGAGCCTCGTTAACCTTGGACTTTCCAGGCAATTGGTGGCAGTAACAGTTTGAATATGACATGCACATATCAAAAGAGGGAGCTTATTTATTGTAGATGCAGTACGAAAAATAACTGCAGACTGCTAGAAATCTAGTTCTAGAAATGGTTATCCTGGATGATTACTAGTAAGACATTGTTTTTTAATTGGACAGCAGGGTAGCATCACCTGGCAGCACTGGAGAACACAAATGTTGGACCAATAAGTACAAAAGATCCTTATTGTACTAACTTTCAGTATTTGAAAGGATCAAACAGGAGCCTTATTAGCTAGCTGAAAACTTGGAAAAGTGCTCTTTTTTAATAGTGCTTTCTATTGTTCATAGAAATATTTCTGGCTATAATATGATCTACAGTTGACTTGTGTTAATGATGTAAGATTTTGCACATGGTGCTGATGGCTATATATCTTCCTTAAACTGTTAAAATAGTATAACAATACACTTCACTTATGGTGCAATACTGAATCTCTTGACAAACATTCTGTAACCCCATGGTAGTGGATTAAATTAAGTGAAATTTAGAATTTTTACTACCAAGAGAGCAAAACATATCAGTTATAGATGGTTTATGGAAGGAACATTTTGCATGGCTCTTGTTCCTTTGATCTTTTAAGTGGTGGATTCATCAGATTGGAACTGAATATTTATATTCTATAAAGAACAAAGGAGCACAGTGTATATCTTGAAAGCAACCTATGGTCTGTGTGGAATAGCATGCAAATAACTTTTTGACAGACAAGTTTAAAACAAGACTAGGCCATTTCCAAGAGTGTGATTTGCAGAGGGTGTTCTGAAATACAAAAATACTTGCACTTTGCTATAATCAGAAATAGAAAGATATTACTAACAAAATAATTATGTGCATATTCACTTCACGTTACAAATAGCTAAATACTGAAGTGATCTAGTTTAAGCCAAACAAACTGTCACAGAAATAAAATTTCTATTTGTATATTTTTGAGAATTTTCTATGGCCTTATTTATCTCTCAGCCAAACAAAGAATGGTACTTGACTAATTATTAATAAGCATTTCCACTATAGGACTCTGACTTGGAAAAAAAGAATAGTCAAATGATAAGGAAATGGCATTGTCTTTGGGGATGCTTCCTGAGAAGAAAAGAAAGTTAAGTTAGTGAAATAAATCGTTATTAGACAGTCATTTCTCTGATCTAAGTATTACTTTTTACACCACTCTTTGGGCCATTTATTTTGGGGTTAGCTTTTTTTTGGGGGGGGTGTTTCTTTTGCAGTGCTTTCTTTTGTTTTGATTCCTTTGATGTGTTAGGTGATGTCAGGTTATTTAAAAAGACAGCACATCTGTCCTTTCAGGTCCCAGTCCTTCGGTCTTGACCAAGGCAAAATGAAGTTCCATAACAGACTTGGGCAAACAGACAGACATGACAGGCTAGAATGAAGTCTGTAATAAAATAGTGTCAGAAGAGGGTTATAGCAGAAGGATATTGCTTAATTTCTTCCCAGATAAGGCTAGGGCATGTGACATATATCCAGGTTTTGTTGTTGTTCCTACGTAGCTCATTGCAAATAGAATTTTTTTTCCAGCCTCTGCTTGTGCACTGCTAATATGTATTAAGCTCTTTCAATATAGCTACTACTAATAATAATAATAATCTCTTTCCTTTTAGCTTTAAAGTAACAGCTTCCTAGGCATCAGTTATGTTATCTTCTAGTTCATTTTTCACTTAACAATAGGATGGGGAAAAAAAAGTGTATTTTATTATATTAGAATAATTCAGCATTAGTGTGAATTGGAGAAAGCTGGCATAATTCCCTTTGATAACACATGTAAACCTTGTACGCAGATCATCAAGTGCAGTAACAATCTTGAAACAGTAAAGATGATGGTTAATTCTTACAGATGAGTTATTAGGGAGCTGCACTTTTTTAAGCAATATGTATTGTGACATAGGTTATCCAAGAGTAGTTTATGATTGGCAAAACCGTAAGTGATTTTACATCTGGAGATTGACTGTCATTGAAAATGCACCTCATCCTCATTAAAAGATTGCATAACACATGCATCCTCTGTTATACAGGTATTGTCTCCCCACTTCCATTCAACCTCATTCTGTTTACTCCTGTTAAAATGCCCTTTTGTGAGAAGGGTAGAGCGATGAGGTCTGACTTGTGCTGGAGATCTGTGCACAATGGCAGGCTGCGTTCACATTCCTGACTAACTGAGTCATTGAACATCAAGGCATTGAATATTTTACATCTCTTCATGAAGACTCTGTTGTTTGGCATGTGAGGAGCAAGAACCAACTGGTGTCTAGTTCATTAGCAAAAGCAGGTTGGCAGCTGTTATGTTGGTATTGCAAATAGTACTTCATCTTTCTGGGAATATAGCAGAGCACTAATTCTACTTTTCTGTAGTGCAGATTAACTGAAAATAACTCTAAGAATAACCCGAATGTGGTTCCCCGCCCCGTTTGTTTTTGAAGTATGAAACCAATTTGAACGCCCGTGTTCAAAACCCTGGTATTCTTCCCTGCTTCTCCTTCAAACCAATCTCTTTGACTAACATGTATTTGATTTTTATTATTGTTGGGCCTATGTTAGCAATGAAGTATCAGTGCGTGAATGGACATAGAGTGTGTGTTCTTTGCTACTTCACTTGTATTTCATATTGCACTTAGAGCAGTACTTAATCTCATGAGTTCCTTATATTTCCAGTTGAAGATGAGCAGCCGTCGACACTATCACCCAAAAAAAAGCAGCGAAACGGAGGCATGCGAAATTCACCCAACTCCTCACCCAAACTGATGAGGTAAGACTGTAAGAAACACATATCTTCATCTCCTTTCTTCCTTCCTTCCTCTTCTCCTCCCCCCACATCAAAAATAAGGGGAGGGGGTGGAAAAAAAAGATTGTTAGATGGTTTCTGAAAGGCTGAAGTATTTATTCTGTCAGCTTGTCAGCAGTTAATGATAGAGCTGAAAAAAATTCTGTCATGAAAAACAGTTTGAAAAGCTGTTTGAAAAATACATAGGCTTTAAAGTCTTAGCTGTCACCCTGTCCTGTCCGTGTGTAGTTCTTAAACAGCAGTGGCACTAATGATAGCACTAACCAATCAGGGGAACTCATGTGGTTAGTTTGCTTCAGGCAATTCTCTTTTTGTTGGATTCCCTCTGAGTACTGTTTTCTGTACTTAAGGCCATATGTGAGATGTATCATCACAATCAAAAATGAACCTGAATATTACCTTCCTTTTATCCTGTCGATTGAAATCAAATTTCTGTTAATTGATTTAGACTGATAAAAAAGTCTAATAATCTATGTACTTGCCAAAGCAAAGTTCAAAACTAATGCAGTTTTACTCAGGCTAAAAGCGCATTAATTATGAAATACAGGATTTTTAAGAGGGTAGCATATACTCTAAAAGTGGGCGAGGAAAACATCATCTTGTTAGTGATATTTTTCCGCTGTTGCTATGTGTACATTATTTTACACCTTTGTATAACTCTGTAGTTTCCTTCCATAGGACAAATTACCTCTAAGAGATCTGTTAAAACTAGAACTGCAACACAGATTGGAATCTATTAAAATAATACAGTGTTTGCTTTCTGTCTCACTGTGCTTCACTTTTTGCCTGCTCAAGTCAGTCAGAACAGGATCAGATGGCAGACCTGGAGTTTTCTACAAGGAGGCGATGCCTGCTCTGGTTTGGCATATCTAAAGTAGCCAGGCTAGAACCTCAGTCCATAATTGTATTCAGAACTAAATATCATAGCAGAGATTTTCCACTGCATATATATACAGAAAAATGTAAACTTATTTACATATATAAACAGACACATTCATGCAGTTTGGGTGTATGTGTAGCAGTAACTGCTCTGCAGTCACAGAGGTTAAGTGAAAAAAATTAATATGAATATATAGTTGTTTCTATATGGAAAATCATTTATGACTTTTATTGTTGACAATGATTTTGTTCCTTTAACAATTCTGGATACAGCTAGGTAATATTCCTGTTTGTATTTCAGACGGTAGACTGGAAATTTTCTTTGGCCAGTTACAAAAGTGCCCATATTTGTTTATTGTTATTGCAATATAGGGGATATTCAAGGACGTAACTTCTACAAGTTGTCTTCATCTCTGTTTAGACTACAGAACCAAAAGTGAGATTGATTCACAGAGGAAAATGCACCCAGCTGTGGCTGTTTTTTCCTATTGACCATCTATTTCTGTTAAATGTATCATTAAAAGTTCTCTGCCTTCCTGTTAGCTCAGCCTTGCCCATATGACACTGATTTACATGCTTGTTTACAGTTTATGAGGAAGAATAAAATGAACATACTGGCAAGCTTCTCATTTTTATGGTGCCAGTTGTCATGCTAGCCTCATTTTCAATTTACTTACCTTTGGACAGTCTTCTTATCTGGTACTAATAGTTTTAACCGCTTGAAGTTTTAAACATGTGGAGCTTGCACCCCCTTCCCCCCCGCCCCCAATCCTAATTTGGGGGAATAGAAAGAGAGGGGGAGAGAGAGAAAGAGCTGAAACATTTGGAGCTGAGCACACTGTCCCTGTTTGCTATGTAAAGTATGCCTCATTTCTTTGATCTTGAGTAATAATAATTCTGGGGAGTTATACTGTTTTCATATGCTTCAAAGCTGTGTCAAAGTTTTGCTGCTTAAGGGTACTTCTTTATTCTATTGGCTCTTGGGTACTGAGATGACAGGTCCTCTGTACTAGGTGCAGGCTTTTTCAAGTCATAGCCTTCAGCAAAACATCAAATTACCAAATACAGGGTAACATAGTTCTACACAAATGCCTTTCCTGTAGATATATTATACCATATATATTAAATACTTTAGTGTTACATGGTACATTTTATGTGCAATAGAAAGTGATGGTTTGAGGTAGCCTTAGGGGTACTTTTTTCCACAAGCAGAAAAAGCTAGTGTATACCGTATCAAGTATGGTTTTTACAGGACTTTCTGCCCGAAGGCCTTTGTAAATAAGTAATGATCAACAGATTGGCTGTGGGTTTTTGAAAAGCATGCCTATGTCAGTTTGCATGATGGGGGAAGATTTTCAAAGTGGAGCCTGCTTTCATTGCCTGCTGAAGAGGGACTGAGGGAGAGTAGTCATTCTGAGCCTGAGCTGTCTGCTCAGTAGCACATCAGAATTGCTAAATACAGGTCGAGCAGCGAGTGGAGAACTTGCCAGGCTTCCAAATCCAGACATTGTTTTCTTCCTCTTCTCCCTTGCTGCTAAATTTATTCACCAGCCCTGTGTTGGCACCCTCAGCCTCTCCTCAGACCCAACCATCTCTTTGTCTTACCCTTTATCTACACTGACTTAGGTTCAAGGTGCTAAATAAGAGAAAGTGGGTTGAAACAGAAGAGAACTGTTAAGCTTTGTGTGTAATGGCCAAACACTTTTCTCCTTTCCGATAAACAAAGGTGGGCTGTATTATCTGCTGGTTTGTATCCTCGTAAATTACCTAAAGTGACAGGTACTTGCTTTCCTGCCCAGAAATCTTTAGTGTATGTCAGCTCAAGGTACACAACAGGTAATATCAGCTAAAGCACTGTCATGTCTGTAGCTGATATTTATTTTTGCAATATTTTTTTTAAATTTACTTTAAAAGCTCCTTTTCAAAGCCAAGTTTACCCCTTTCCCTCCCACAGAAACAGCTGGCTACTTTACAGACTTTTCCTCAGCTGTAGTCCTGGTTCTAGAGGGGGCCTGGAGGACAAGAAGTCTGGAGCATGTAAAGAAGGAGTATGTGAAAAGTTCATTTATAAATTGTAATCAGAGTTGTGACTTTAGAATCACTTTCTGAGCAGCCCTACAGTTAAGATACTGTTGAAAATGCTGTGTAGATTTTAGATTTCCACAGTGGCTGGGGCAAATCAGGGAAGAGGGTATTATGCCATGAGATAAAACTTTATGACTTCTGCTATCACTGGAGTAGAACAGAGGGCAGAAGCTATATCATAGGGATTCCCTGGGACATTATGACAAGAGGTCTGACAGGTGCTTATTTAGGCCTGGTCAGAAAGTGGGAATTTTTGAGATTTACTCACACATCAGAAGAAAGCTATATTACCAAATATGATCCGGATAGATAGATTGAAGACATCTTTTCAATGTCATCTTTTTTATGTTATTGTCTCTAAATGCCAATAAATTACTAACTGAAATAAATAGATGGTAGGCATACAAATGTTCTTTGTATACATCACAAATGGTCTAGATTCACATTTAGAAAGTCACTGTTCTAACTGAATCCTGGATCACATCAAATGACCTGAGTAGAATCACACTGATGCAATACTGGAAGAATCTAATCAATCAGAAACAAATCCTTCAAATTCCAACTATAGCTACAAATGCAAATTAACTAGAAAAATACTCTGCATCATCATGGTTATTTCTATTTGTTTTACACCAACAGAAGTCTGTCCCATTAAACCCACAAGAACATGGGTATTATTTAAAAATAACTTAAACTCCAACAGGAAAAAACAAATACTTCTCCTGTGGAGAAGGAAATCCTGTTACAAAAAAAAGTAAAATTAAAATAGGAAGTGGAAGGAAAAGGAAGAAAAGCTGTGAGTAGCAGAGTAATCACATATCAGGTCTTTTTCTTCATGAGACGGCGAAGAAAAGTAGAACCATTTGATGCCTCTGCTGTCATGCAGTGATATCAAGTCACCTGTTCATCATGTTGTAGTCAAAGGTTTTGATGCATGTTCTTGATGAACAGCCACGTTAAATATGAGGAGGCTGTGTTGCCTGAATATCGAATAGTAAAGCTAGTTTTTAAAAAAATGTGTCATTTTGGATTCCAGAATGACCAGTAAAAATGTGAAAAGCCCTGGATATGAATCAAAAAAGCCACTTAAAAGGATTGTGGCTGGGGCTCAAGTCTGCACTTAATGCTTTGGTAGCTGCTACTGCATGAGTGGAATATACTGACTTGAAGGAAATGTCAGCCCAGCTGAGTCAAACTACCTCTTAATGCAAGAACAAATAGCATATGACAGGGCCCAAGGGGCCTGAAGAGCAAACAAATAGTTTGTCCCTGTCCACTCTGAATGTAGTGGTGTAGTTGACATAGGCCTCTAGACAAGTAGCATACTCAGCAAAGGGTCATTATCATTAGTGTCCCTGATCACATAAGAATCAGAGGCATCAGAGGACGTTGGGTTTTCAGTGTGTTGCCAAAGAGAATTTCATAAGCCTGGGGATTTTTCCTGATCAAGGATCTAAAATAATTCCCAACGAAACCATAAAACTTGCTCAGAGAATGTCAAGACCCAGCTAAGTGACACAGGAAAAAGTGAGCTTTCGGCATATGTTTCTGGAAACCTAATGAGATTATTTGTCTGAAGTTGAGGGGGAAACCTCCTGTCCTTTTTCCTGAAGTTGGATATAATATTCTAAGTATATGAGCAATGGCTGTGCACATTTATCTCCTAATCCGCCCACCCAGCTACATACACTCAAATGTACACACACATTTCTGCTAGTGCCACTCAGGATGAATTTGGATTGCTCCTGCCATTGTAGTTCCCTTCCACGAGCTGAAACTGTGAGCTTTCTTGCAGGAACTAAAAAAAGTCATGGGAGGTCTTAGAGGGGAACATTTCTTAAGCAAAAACTGTTCAATTGAATAAGTTCAATCTGATCATTTTCCATGACTCCCCTAAACCAGGCATGAAAGTAAGGTTTAAAGAGGTGAAAGCTCACTGATTAGCCATAATAATGGTTTATATTTATGTCCCTCAGCCTTGGAGATTTCCATCATGTACT